GTGGGGGGAGAGGGGGGTTACATTGAAACCAAAATCCCATTGGGAAGCCGTAAAACTGCAAATTAAATTAACTGGCAGCAATCAACTTTTCTTAAGTTTTGTTTTGTTTTGTTATAATAAAAATGGGGTTTTTTTGGCTTCTAACTGGTTGCACTTAGTGTTTTCATCCTCATAATTTATATAAATAGATTAAATTTTCTGAACGCATGTTTTCGAGGCACGGCCAATATACTGCCTTTGTTTTCCAGATTAGATTTCTCTGCTCCTCAATTTTGGGAGAAATCCAAGGCTCATCTAGTCTATCCTCATGTGAGATGCCTTTGAGAGCTCCAATTGTGAACAGCATGAGGCAGAATAGAAGCTTTAGGTGGGCAACTGAAGGCCAAGCAAATTAGCAATTAGACACCATTCATATGAAAAAGATTGAAGAAATGGGTCTAATACTGCACAAAGGATAAGAAATCACACCCTTATTGGAGTTGAAGTGACGACTTTAACTTGAAAGAGTGTTTGAAGAGGCTTTTGGGGCCAAAAATCGAATACTTGTATTTCTGCAAATCAAACATCTGACTCAAGCTATATCTGTCTTCCTCGATTAAAACCAAAGCAACTACAAAAAACATAGAAATTCACTTAAATCCTGTCTACTTTTCTAATCTTACAGTAGAACAACTTATCTAAAGGTTACAAATTAATCTAACAGCATCTCTGGAGGCCAGTAGATTATAGGCTACATCTTCTGGCTCTACTACTGTTAAATATATAAATACATATGTGTTACGACCGCTGTTGCGCCGCCCCTCCTCTTTTTGTGGTAATGTCTGTCTTTTGGCAGTGTCATTTGAACGTGTGTGTGCTGTGCGTTTCTCAGGTGGTTGATTGCCAAAATCATCCACCCGTGCAGAGTTGCAACCTGGGAGGCCTGATTGGTGCGCACACTGCAGAATCTGAGTGACCAATCAGAGGCATCACAGCTTTAAGAAGCCTACCAGCGCAGCAGTCAAGAGCTGCTCAGGATCGAGACTGTTTCGTTTGTGCCTCTTAGGTTGTTCAATTGTGTAATTGTTAAAGATGTGTAGAGGCACTTGTTTTTACTGAGGCTGGGTCAGGTATAGTTTTTGTTACTAATATTGTGGCGCAGACATTTACACTCACTGGATAAATGTAGATTATTTGTTTAGACACTAGGTTAGGGGTACTGATATACATGTGGTATTGGACCCAAAATGTAGACATGATCCTTTTTCTGAAATTTGACTATTAAAGCTCATCACTCACAATGAACTGCAAGGATAAAGTTGCATGCCTTGATGCAGCCCCCCACTGGGAACATTATATCTTCTTTACTGTCCAATTAACTCTTCAAAGAGATTGCAGTTCATTAATCTGCCATACAGCTGCTTGGAAATCTTCAGTAACACTAAGATAGCTCTATATTCAATTTACTTCTGCACCACAAGACATTAGGCTATTACCCTCAGATGAGCATGTATCTGTTCTGTCAGACATTATCTCCGTATCTATGATATCATCAGTAGTAATTTGAGTAGTAATTTATATTAGATTTTATCTGTGATTATTAAGATGATCACCTTTCAGTGATCCCTTTTGGGATATAATTTATGACAATGTGACATCCAATATGTACATGGTTGTTATCAACGTCATTAACTTACACTTTGATTAGGACCTTGAGAATTGGGGTAGAACCAGGCCTCTGAGACACAACCCTATGGATTGTTTTGTATGAAGGACCACAAAGGTTAAAATAGAACATTGTTAACCTGATGTATTACTTTTGTTACAAACTACTGCTTGACTGTGCTTTAAATATTGGTTACTCTAAAAGGCAACTTCACCCCTAAATGGCAACAGAGTCCATCAGACTTCATATGTCATAGGGACCTAAAATACATGGGGGAAGCTTCTGGTTTAATATGTGAAGCCAATGTAATATGACTTAAAATCTGTTTTGTTTCTAAAGGGAGCAATATCGTATATACAATCAGAAGTCTACGATAAAAATGATCCTGCTAAACTTGACTTGTTATCTTAGTAAATATCAGCAGAGATGTATCAATGTGTATACTCCCTCATCAAATGGTCCTGAATCCAAACAACTAGGATGGCAACAGCCAACATGCCAACTCAAGGGTTGATGTCATGTTGATCATAAATTCCACCATTTCTTCATGTAAACAAACAATTGTTTCTTAAGAATTACATATAGTCACAATTAATTCTTGAATATCAATACGATATCATCTCTAAACAAGTATTTCTAAATACCTTTTTTTTCCTCATTGAGCTATTCTGTGCAATTCTACTGTAATTTCCAATGAACTGAACCATTGACGCAGGACATTTTAATATGAGACTTTATAAGATCACAAGTTCCAAAACACTTCCCAAAATCATCAAAGAATTTCTTTTACAATGAGAAGTACAACTGTGTGTCAGCTTCTGTGTCAGACTCAGTGAAGACACAAGGTCGTGTTTTCCCACCCTTTCTGTGAATCAGTGTAAATTAAGGGGAGAAACCACAATAGTTGTTGGGTAACACAATCATTGTGTATCGATTGTGGGGTTGGCTTTAATGGGTTAAAGGTGGAGTTAGAACCCCTTTTACATGTTTACATTGATTGCCAAAAATAAGAAAGAAGACAATAAAACCTTGTCTGCTTTTAAAGGTGACCCAAGCCCTTTAGGTCATGTGGTATAAGCTCTGTTGATAAAACCAAGTGCAATAAAATGAAACATCACAAGGAGGGAAAATCTATGTCTTCATTAAGACAATACAGCTCAAAGTCATGGGCGCGGAAAATTGGAGACAACAAAGAACTGCAAGCAAAGAAAACCGAAATCAACAGGGCAAACTGAAATCAAAGTGATTGGGTTCTCACTTCATTTATCACAGGGGATTAAAAGGAACTCTGAGAAAGACCCATTTGTTTAGCGTTATAAAATGGTTCACTTGAATACACCAGCCTTCTTCAAGAGAGTTTGGTGTCATGTGGATGAAATTAAATGCCTGACTGTTGTTTTTTGCTTGTGACTTTCATGCAGCCTTTTTTTTTTTTATCAGTGCTGGGATGTTGATTGTAATTTCTTACTTGTTGTCTAAAGACATTAATTGGAGGAATCCAATTAGTGTCTGACCCTTTTACTTGACATAAAACAGTGGTAGTGGGTAATTATATAAAAACATTGCATATATGCAATAGAAGTGAGTGATGACTTCAATAGTACCCCAAATATCAGAGGTCGGCTTATCACTGAAGGGCAGAACATCATTAGTGTTATGTCTTGCTGAAGTCTGCACATTCTTCACAGTGTGTCCAAGGTGCTGCTGGAAATCAGCCCCCCTGAGACGCTGCTGTTTCAGGCCCCCATGCAGAGTCTACATTAAGACAGCACCTCTAAAGCTGTAATTATTGTCAGATTGGCTTCAGCTGTGTTTGTGTGAGAGAGGTGCTGTTTCCACAATGTAAGACACCATGAATGAAAATAAAACCCTCACACTGCACTGCAGTGTATTGATAGGCCAATTGGTGGCATGACTACCATTTGAAAGTGTTTGTAATTATTTGAATTTATTTCAAAATAGGGACAGTGCACATGAAAGAACATAAAAATGTAAATATGTGAGATTATAGCTATTGGCTAATTTCCATTCCGTACACAGGAATACAAATGTACATACTGTAGAACCTCACAAAACACAGGTAGCACAACAACAATAAACCAAACAACATAAATTGTACGTTAGTTGACAAAGGCACACAAATAACAAAACAAAAGGTGAGTATCTGGTTTTGCTCTTACTTTTTTTGATCCAATCCTCATATTAATGTTAACATTATATAGTGTTGCTGTGGCAGAATTGTGCTGTGACAATTCACACATATCAAAAAACACTTGACTCATTTTCAATATGTACCAGGTAGTCTTTTTTATTGATTAGATCTCTAGAGGCAACAGACTCAACCGTTGATATGAAGCTTGTTGTCAACAACTTTTCTGTCTAGCAGTCTATAGTCCGGTTTACACATCTTGGAGCAGGCGGTCTCTGGAAGATGGTTTAGTAGAAGTGTGTTGTTGTTTCTTGTGAGAGACGTTTTCCTTTCTGCAGATAGACATTTGACATTTTTTATGTGGCTCTTAAAAGAGAGTACAGAAGCCAGAATGGCCCCAAGGTACTTTAACTCATTTACAAGCTGTTTCTCCTTGTCCCGTTACGTTTGAGCAGTCTTACTGGATGCTTTGAGAACATCATACGCGCATGATGCGTACAGTGTTTAATAGAAGACGCAATTTGGTGGAATAAAGGGAATTTGATTTACAGCTCAAGGTAGAGAGACTTTTAATTTCCAGCTGGTGTCAGTTGATTTTTCAGCTTTAATTACACCAGCAGATATTATCAGCCGTTGCTAAATAAAGTCTGTTTGCTGATTTTTTTTCAAATGCTAACTTTTAAGACGAGAAGAAAGCAGACTTTTCCTCGCTAACCTTTAAAAGTCTATTAATGTCAACTGAAATAACACCTGCTAGCAGATAACACCTGCTTCATCTAATAAGTTAGTTAAACCTATGTAAGCATAATGACTCAATACATTTTAGCTTACAAGAACAACTTACATTAAAGAAAATGTCTGTTATATTCATGCATAACACTTGAGCTCTTGAGCTCTATATTTCCTTTCTTGTATTTCTGTCATGATTTGGTTTTGTATTTTGTATTTGAGTTTCCCGTTTTATCCCAGTGTTGCTTGTTTCCCTTGTGTGTTAATGTTTCCTAGTTTTGTCTTCAGTGTTTCATGATTTAGTTTGTAGTTGTCCTCAGTGTTTCTTGTATTGTATTCCTGCCTCTGTGTGTTTTCCTCTGTGTTGATTACCCTGATTGTCTTCATCTGTGTTATTAGTCTCACCTGTGTCTGATTACCCTATGTCTATTTAGTCTGTGTGCTTCGTCCCCTTGATCTTTAGATCAGTTGTATCATTCGTACTTCATCCCAGAGCTGAACATTGCTTGAAAGCTTGTCCTTAATGGGAATGTTTGTTAGGGGTTATTCAAGTCAACTTTAATGTAACTCATCCAAATACAAGGTGTACAGCTGAATGGAATATTATTTGATAGGATTTATTTGTTATGGACAGATACAATATACATAAGCAATCTGAAAACAGCCAAAAATTGCAAGTATAACAGAAACTAATTTTCAACAGCGTATTGTTTCTTTCTGACCAAATGCTAAGAGATTAGAACAGCTAACAATACACAACAACAATAAAAAGCTGGATAACACAAATAGGTTCAAGACAAAATAGAGGAAAATCAATAGACGCTTACATCCCTTTAAAATAGAGAAGATATTTTGAACTGAATTTGACATCCATTGCTTTTCTCTAGTCATGGACATTTATTAGAGGTTTTCATCAAATGAAATGATTTATGGGATGAAAATCTGTCCCCGTTTCACAGGGGTCAACCCTATAATGCATCAATGGAGGTCATCTGTTTGAGGTGCCACACACAAACCTATCACACCAATTTCATCACAGTTTCACCCTCAGTCTTCCTTAATGTTTAAAGGGTGGTTACTGGAGAGTCCTGCTGGAGGTCATGGAAATCACTGCCACTAATCTCCCAGGACAGAAATGATACAATTCCAGTTAACTGTCCCCGTCCAATACTGACACCAGTTTGCCTTTAAAATACTGAACCATGTGTGTCTGGCGTAATACTACTCTTCATCCTTTCAGCAGTGGTCACTGTGCCCTGACACCAGCACTGAGAGGCAAAATGATCCAGAGAAAACGTGAGCCCCTGTCCCCCGCGGTGATTACGAGCTTGCAAATAAGGTGAGATGGATATTGATGGAGGTCACACGGAGAGGAAAGTAAAGTGGTTTGGTACAGTCACAACCCACAGGGAAGAAGATGCACACTAAAAGCAAGAGAGACTGGTCACCCTGCTCTTTCCATTGCAGGGAGCTTCTAAATCAAGCTAGTGCATGGATGCCAATATAGATAAACTAAGACAGTTCACTTATAGTGCTTGTATATATAGATACAGGTTTTTCTTGGGTCACTCATGTTGTTGATTAGAGAATGTCCTTCATGACCAGGCTGTTCTTTTACTGGCATTGCTCTGTGTTTTGTTCAAAGAGACTAAATACACAAAAAGCCAATTTTAGCAAAGTGTTTATATGTATGAAGTATAACTTTTAGTTTACTTGTTCCTTTCTTATGTTCCACAAAGTTGACGGGGACAAAACATACATATATACCTTTTTGTAAGCTGAGGAAAGTTGAAAGAAATTTTTTAAATCTAAGACAGTTAATCATGTATTCTCCCCTTACGTTTGCTCCACATATCAGCAAACATGTCATTTAAGACACCTTTCATCTCAGTTTAAGCTGTGACAATACTTCTGCACAGATACATATAAATATCCATGCAACGCTTTGCATAGAAGTTGCCAAGGCAACTTGATCGCTTGAAGAGACAACATACCCTTTGTACAGAACAGCACATCAGGCAAGTTTATTTTTGGATTATTCTCACATCATGAGGCAGGTACGAAGAAGAGATTAAAAGCAATATATATATATATTTCCTTTAATTAGTTGGAAAAACTACTTTCCAACCTTATTTGAAAAACCACTATATTCCCCTATATATGTACAGCATTGAGAATCATGTAGCCAACCTTATACACCACATGTCAAAAAGGTTCAAAATAAACTATTCAAACCTTGGTGCCTTTTTTTTTCAATTCACAAACTATGGCAAGCTTTATGACAGGGTCAGAAAGGAGGGTTCTTTGTGTGTGTTTTTACTTTGATTTTTATTTGCATTTATGTTTTAGTAACAGTTTTATGGATTGCTGTGGTTTTTATGCATTTGTGTAATTTGTTGAAACTTACGACGTTGAAAAAGGTGACGTGTGCAGAGACGGAGATCCATGAGATAGGCAGCCGGTGCGCAAGTGGGAACGCCGCACAGAGACGAGGGATCCCCCAACTGGGATTGTCGGCAGAGCAGCTGGTGTCCGCCAAAGCTACTTCACGCAGGCCTGGGTTGGTAGTCGTCAAACTCCGACCCGGGAAAACCGTGAGTATCCCAACGAAATTGTAGGCGGCACCAAGGCATACTAAAGGGCTGCGAGTGACATTATTTTCGACATGATTACGTAGAACACACTAGTCGCCAAGGTTGTTCTGGCCCCTCAGGTCTCTTTTTAAAGGGGTCAACGCGAGTCGGGCCGCGTCGAGCAGCATCGGAGCAACATCGGAGTAGCAAGAGAAAGTTCCGAGACAATTGAAGGAACATTCCACCTCGGACTCTGACTTTTATTTGACTTTGTTAAGTAGTATTTTATTGTTGCAACTCTCTATAACACCTGTCACTTGTTTTAGATTATATTTATTAACATTTTTATGGTAATAAATTAGATCATTGTGCATTTTAGTTTCCTGTCTGGTTTTTAACTCTGCTCCCCCTGATTTTAAGAACCTGTGTCTTTTAAAGAGTCTCAATATTTTAAATATTGCCGTTGTTGGCATCTTTTAACAGCATTATTGTTCAGATAGTGATATAAGTATTGGTTTAAGCCTCAGATACTGCCTCAAATGCTGTTTCCATCCAGGTTATTATTGTCATGCAAAACTAACACCCTAAAAAAGTATTTGATGCTAGCAGAGTTCATTGTTAATTAAATCAAGAAATATGTCTGCTATCAGTGTATTTCCACCAATTGTATGTATATTTTCTTAATCACTCTTAAGTTGTACAGGAAATGGTAAACACTTGGTATTAAAATCTGTATTAGGAGTGGAAAAAATGGTTTGATAAAATCTCTACATCTGAAATTCTTGTTCTGCCTAGAACTTTTTATATTTCAATCTAAGTACTGAATTAAGGTCTTTAACCCCTTACACTGTTTACCACTGAACAAAGTGAAAGTGTTTCACACAAAGGTCTGCCTTGCAATCCAACAATGGTAATATCACTGGTTGTTGCATAAAATTGGTAGAAACCAGTGCAAACATAAAGGCTTGATTTAAACTTGTGCTCCCTCCTTGGAATTAAACACCCCTCTGTTGTTTTGTCCTTTCCTCCTCTTTGTCATACCAATGCTCAGCTGAGAATTAAAAATACCCTGGGAATAGAGAGAGCATTTCAAGGTCAAGAAAATAGCAACCTGGGCTGTGCTCCATCCGACTGTTTTTTTTTTTTTTGCATGGCTGTAATCTCATTACAGGTGATATAAAGCACTGATGCATAACAAGTATGCAGACAACCTTGTAAACACATGCCTGAATACTTGCTGAAACATATAGACACTGACAAATGAACATATTCACAATGAACCCATTCACTATGATTAATGTTACACTGTAGTCCGCTTTTTATAATGCTTGTCAAGAATCACTTATCATAATATGTATTTTGTCATCAGCTTTAATCTAAGAGGTAAATTGCTCATAATAAGGAAAGTAAGATAATGAGAGCAATATACAGTGATGAGCTCATGGAAAGGTCATAAACTACAACTGTGTTAACTGAGTTGTTTGTGTTATTGTTGCCATTCAACCCCAAATGAATATGTTAATATTTTCAGAGAGTTATGAGGATGTTCACTTTAAATGAGTGAATTATCTGTTATGATGCCAGTTGGAGAAGAAGAGGGTGTACTTATGAGGTACAGGCTAGTGGAACAGTTTTCCTTTCATCTGTCAGCAGCCATAAAGCACCAGCAGAACACTGACTAGCTAAACAAGGTTGGCTCTCAGTATACTCCCTTCTCGCTCTATGCAAATTGGTCCCTTTGATGTTGAACCAACAGCATGGGGAAGGAAAGAGCAAAGGAGAAGAAGACGGGAGAGCGAGGAGGAGAAAAAGGGGGATGACAAGACGGGCTTGTTTTTAATCAGGGACTGGTTCTAATGAGGACCTGTGTCAGCAAAACAACACGGCCATGCTGCTGACTGACCCAAGCAGAATTTCAAATATTATTCACAAGTCTGGATCTTTATAAAAATGGCTGCTAGACTTTGTAGATGCTGCTTTTTTTGTTCTCTCTATTAGATTGTTTTGGGGTTTTGACAAAATTTATAGAGAGGGCCACAGCTCATGAAAACAGGACGTTTTGGGTTTTTTTCTCTGAGAATTGTGTAATCTTTTCCACAAACTTTAGACCGTGCAACTAAAACTTTATTAGGCAAATTAATTGATAAGATTTCCAGAGGAAGAGGTAAGCTGTTTAATCAAAACAATTCTGGGTGTTGTAGATAACATTTCTCAAAATTAATCGTGTGTCTTCCTCAGCTCCTTCCGCCTTTGCAGAAGTTACGCATGCTGTGAAAATGGCCATAAATAAATCAGTAGGTTACTTGTGTGTATTATTAAATGGTGTTTCCATCATATAGCCATAATTGTAATGGCAAGGGAGTAAATGACAACATATTGACATACACACACACATGCACGCCAAAGTCACTATATATGAGAGTAAATATGTCTACAACATGCATATGATGCACTCTCTCACAGACACACATCCCATACACACGTAATCATCTAATCATCTGGCCACATCAGGTAATATTTGCCGGCAGATTTTTTTAATTAAAAGTCAGAATGACTTGAATGAAAGCTGCTTCTGTGTTTGCAACTGATATTCTACTGAGTTATTGCACTTTAATTGAAGAATTAATGAAAGGAGAAGTCCATTTTCCCCTGGTAAAGTACCACGCAGCTGCAGGAAAAGTGGTATGTATGCCTTACATACCTTTTCTTCAGAGAGGTAAAGAAGTGACAGGCACAGAGAGGCTGTTTATAACTGGATAATTTCCACATTTCGTACATCTCGTTCAATTTTCACCTGCTGAATTAATCATTATTATTACAAGAAACAAGAAACACAGAGTTGTGCAACAATCTGGTGGGACAGTACTGAATGTGTCAAAAGATAATTTATGGATACATGCTGTTAGTACAGTACACATGCTGAGTTCAAATCAAAAATGTTTCATTTTGATTCGAGGAAACTGTAGCTCAGATTCATCTATTCTGTTATCACTTTGAAACAACAGCATTTATGAAGCTATACCCACCAGATGCTCATCAGCTTTCATGGGGTTCCCAATAAGACAAATGGATTGAGTGAATCCAAAACCAACTGAGAAAAGCTCTTATTTCAATCAGGAGAGACTTAATTGAGAATGAACAATTATTTATTTACAATAAATGTGCAACAATTAATTTCGAATGTGCAAAGTCTTTGGGGGATTAGACTCCATCGTGACGACTTCACACTCGGAAGGTAATGAAGCCGACAGCAGGTTAGGAGACCCCCCTATGGAGTCTAGACACTGGTGGTGGTGAAGATGAATGGAGGCTGCTATGAGGGATTGGTATCCGAGCCTGATCTGGACTCTGTTGAGCTGGAATGGAGGTGACTGGGGCGGTGGTGGGTTACAGCGGTTGCCTGAAAAGACAGAAGGGCTGCGAAAGAGAGAGAGTTGTTTTCGCCTTTTTGCTGCTGCAGGATGATTGGATGGGAGAGGTTGTGCCCAAATCTGATTGGTTGATCACTTGAAGAAAAAAACGCCCATAAACAGCTGATCACCAGAGAAGGGAGACACAGGGTGCGTTCGAATTGTCCCTCCTATCTCCTTTCACTATCCACTTTACCTTAACCCCGCGAAAACATCATGAGGTCAAGGAAAGATGTTAGGAGAATTCATAAAGGACTTAGGGAAAGGCGACCTCGTTGCTCTGACAATCCGACCACATTTCCACTAGGCCACGTCATTAAATGCGACGGGCCGGCGGAGGTTAATGACCTGGGTCTGATGTGTTGAAACTACAATGTTTAGAAAATGGACTACAAAAAACGCATCGGAAAAACTTTCCCCTGTGCCTTCTTACCGGTGAAATAATCCTAATTACCACAAGGTTGGGATTTAAATAAAAGCAACATAGACTACCAGGCTACGAGTAACAAAAGTGAAACCATCAGCTTCCTGTCCAATCAGAAATCAACATCAACATAAATATGATTGTATGAAATTATTTGTTACATTAATGTAAGATATAACCTACACATAATGTTTGAAGCATACAAATGTACAACTGCACAGCATTCTGAAGAGAATGAAATATGTTGAATAAAACATCATCTGGATAAAAATGTCTCTTATCTTTTTATTCCTTACATGATCTGTGTCACTTTACGATCATCGTTCATTTCCGTGAACAGTCGGATGCGCAAGTCGCTTTAAATGTTGCGGCCGCAAGGAATTGTGGGGCGTCATATCTCATCTCCTTTCGTAAAGGATGGTCCAGTGTATCCTATGCTAAAGGAGGTTATAAAGGAAGCATTGACCCACCTTTCCTTAACTTTTAGAGAATGGCTCTTATCATGGCCGCCACTAAAATGCCTCCAGGGTTAAGGTAAAGTGGATAGTGAAAGGAGATAGGAGGGACAATTCGAACGCACCCAGAGAAAGTAGTAGGGGGAGTGGTTTAGGTTGAAGTGAAAGGATGAATGAATGAGTGAAAGAATATAACCAGTCTTCCTGTCTGAACTTACGCTGAGCTCCATAAGTACAATGATGTGCTGCTTCAGCCTGCATGTCAGAAAAATAAATGTATCAGTCTTCATCATTTTCACATGCAGAGCACAGAACTGTTATATAATTGCAGAGTAGCTCTCCTCAGAGGAAATAGCGTAATGTCTCTAATTAACATGATAATAAGAATTATCCAAAACTCTAATTAACAAGACGCAACACGAACTCAGATAAAAATGCTAATTAAACAATCAGGTATTGAGCAATCATTACATATAATGCACAATAAAGTTAAGTCAGCACCACCAAGTTCAACACAAACAGGAAGTCTGGGGATAATGAGGACAAAATGCCCGAGAGATTTCAGGACCCTCCAATTTTAGGAAACACAAGAAAATTGAGAAATCATATTCACCAATTTGACAAGACACATTGTGCATTTGGAAGGAGACTGAATACAGAACTGCGGCAATATGCAAACAGCACAATACCAGTGAGTGACATCAAAATGGTAATGTATCAAGGGACACAAGCGATTGAATATGTGACTGCATAGTCCATGTCAGGTACTGAAACATCTGAATCATGCTATCTAATTAAAAGGAGGTTGGAAATTTGATCACTGGCTCCTTTTGCGTGCATCTTGATGTGTGCTAGGAGCAGACTCGAAAAAGTTGCCTACTTTTACTTTTTTTTGAAGACTACTGTGAAAAATTTCAGGTTGTGTTGATTTTTGCGACCCTCTGGACAATGCGGGAGGGTTTGTCTGTGCTGATCTTGTCCTGCACATGTGTAACTTGTGTGTTCTGACAAAAAGATCTCACCCTTTTTCATTTCAAATATTACATAAACGTACATTTTCTGGGGAAAAAAGGTTGTTAATGGC